CTGCTTAGATATAGACCCATATCTGATTAAGCATCAAAATTGGTATTTTTAAATAATGTGATTTTTTTTTCCTTTGGCAAGTATAATTTTCCTCCAGGAGATACTTTAACTGTATCATCAGAATTATTTCTACATATTATCCAATAGCATTTTCCTATGTGGGAATATATTTTATGCAAATAGTAATAGAATTTTATCTTCATCAATGTAATTATACATTCACTTATTTCCAAAGTAATTGTACAAGTTATTAAATTATTGAATTTGAAACATATGAGATAAAAGAAGAAAGGCTACTTAAGCATTAACCCCAAACCCAGAGGCAAGCGTTATTAATATTCTCTTGTTTATCCTTTCAGCCTATCTTCCTATCATACACATTCTGTGTTTTTACAACTTAATGCACTGGTATTATATATGTGTTATATTCTGTCCTTAATAATATATTTCATTATATTAAATAATGTATTTTGTCATATCATTAAATATTAATCTGATATCATTCTTAATTGCTATTTATATCTTAACTTAAGCCAGATCCTAACTGTTATTTTAAATGAGTCCTGATTTTCTACCTTAAAAAAAGAAATAGTGTAACAGAGAAAAGTATTCAGGAAAAAAATCTTTGGAATTTTCCTCATTATTCATCTTAATTCATTAATCTACTTCATAATTTTCTATTTAATAACTAAAGTACTAGTTTATTCAGATTTAATATCTGAGTCCCATTCCACTATCATTATTATTTAACTGAGTAAAAAATGTTTTCTAAAAGATGCATGCCTTTATTTTTCTACCTGCCTATTTTTGAACTTCTGTAGTTTTCAGGCATTTGCTTTCAGCACTGTAAAAAAGGCTAAAACATAGCACCAAAATACAAAAGCAAATGATTTCAAAGTGGTACACTGAACTTGTATAACTTCAAAACTTTTATCATACAAGTGAACTCCGTCATGATCCTGTTTGACATGAGAATAGAATAAAAAATGTAGCACAGTTTACACTAATTAGGTTATCATTCCTGCAGTGTTAGTACCCTTAAAAGATAAACACATTTCCTCTTGGCTAAGCATTACCTCATTCGTCTTGTTCGAAGGCAGCTAGGAGAAACCAACTCTGTGCTCATGGATATGATGTGTACCATATCTACAGAAAAATAAGCACAGCTTTCCTTCCCAGATGATAAAATTCCATTAAAAGATTTACTTCTGAGGCAGCAGTTAAAGAGGAATGACTGTGGGGATATTCACATTTTCATAAACAATTTCCACTTTCAAGGGAAGGGGCCCTCTCTCTTTGTGATCCTGATGCCGAGAATCTCACAGGACTCATTTGTACCGTTCATAGCTATGGGTTCTGTGGGTTTTTCAGCTCATGCTTTACACACAAATGAGCTTCTTCATTTGTTCCTAATGACTTTGGTTTATACAAAGAGATCTTAAACTGTCCCCAGAGCAATCATTTTGCTAAAATGTTATTAGAACATCTTTACAAATTTAGCAACAAAAGGGGGTTTCATTAACAATGGAAATCACTGGGAGCCAAGGCCCTTGGCAATATTAGTGCTCACCAATCTTGTTATATTTTTGATGATGAGTACTAATAGTCTCATGAACTATACATTGATTCTTTATCTGGTACGTAAGGAAGATAAGGAATGGATGGGGTGGGAGAAGATGAAAAATCAGAGCAGTATTCTCTGGCTAATCAGCTCTGTCCTTGCTCTTCTATGAAGCCTTACAGGCCTTAAGCAATGCATACCTCCCAGCGTCTGCTAATAAAATCATTTCTTTCCTGAGAGTTTGGGGATTTGTGGCTGAGACTGAGGGCGGGCTATTTTTCAATATACCATCGAAAGGCTTCAGATTATATATGTAAACATATGTGTGTTTCATTTTCATAGTAATCAAATTGGATACATCTGCTATGCACAAAGAGACAGCTGCTGACAAGCCTGAAATTTGACCTGCAGTTTCTTGCAGAGCACATTCAAATCATGTCATCTCTCTTGGTTTGTGGCTGCAGCTCCAGACACAGAATCTGCCCCTCTTCTGGACAGTTTTGCTCTCAAAGGCCCCTTTTGCCCAGGACAACTTTTGTTGGATTCCTACAGGGTTGTTTATCTGTTATTTCATCCAATATTGTATTGCTGGGTGCAATGAAGATTTCTTCTTGCTGTATGTGTGACCAGCTGGTCACACAGCAGTTCCAGAAATACACCTGGAGCCTATGTCCTTTCAATCACCCAGAGGCTGTAGTTTAACAAGTACTTCTTCAGTGCTGGTAAACAGAATGGATCTTTGTTGGAAATCTACTCTTGCCAACGTTAAATATGTATCAAAGGTGACTTATTGACTAAAAAGTAATTTAAAAAGAGAATAGAGGAGATATCCATGGCCAGTTCAACACTAAGAGAATTCCAGGCTGGATGCATTGATATGACTCTGCAGCCCACTGGTTAAACCCAGGGCTTGGTGATAATATCCTCTTAAAGGATACACTATTTTTTTATTTAAAAATTTTTGGTGGATTTTACTTTCTATCAGATGGTGTTTTATTGAAGAAGAAAAGATCAAAATTCAGTGACAGTTACCTGATTATTATCAATATCAGAAACTGATGTATCTTATTTTCCTTGTCATTAGCCCTATCTGTGACGGTTAAAATAGGAAAGTCTTTCATGTACAGATCATCCTGGTTCTCAACTTACACTGTAGTACGAAATATCCTCTCTTAGAAACAGAGTTCTCTCTCCCAAAATAGTTTACATAAAGATATTATTATATAGACTAATAAAATAGGACATGTAACCTAGACCATAGTATGGCACAAAAGTGGTATTTTCTGCTTGTTGCCCCTTTAGCCAGCATCCAGAGCTTGTACTGGCCATTTATTCCTTGTTTATTCATTCATTCATTTATTTATCTATTTTTACACAGCTCAGCAACAGCTAATAGTAACTACTGGATAACAAAAAATATGGACTATAGCTACTGACTATAGCATATGACACTCAAGTTATTTCTAAGAAACATAGTTTAATATGTACTTTTTCTTTTCTTTTTTTTTTTTTTGCCTTTTCTGTATTTCTGTATGCCTTTTCTACTTGTAAGCATTGATACTGGAAACCAGTTTCATAGGCAGTAATAAACCTGATTCAATGGGCTCTATCCCCATCATGCTCTTTGGTATATTAATAGCTTAGTGAATGTCTCTTAGAAAGTAAGCTTAAGTCTAACATTAAGAAAATAAGCTTTGATTGGTCAGTTGATGATTTCAGTAGACATATTATTGACATTGTTTGCCAATGTTTATATTGATCTCTTGGCCAAAGTCATGGCAATAATACAGTGTTGTACCCCATAGCCTGTAATATTTGGAGGAAAAGACTCCTTCTCTTTTCTAGCTGTTAATTTAAAGGCTCGGTTTCTTAACTTTCTTATTGCAGTTAATAAAGATGGAGGCGGCTTTATAATCATATGCTTTATCTACCAAGATTGACACATTCTTCAAAATGTGTTGGCAAAGTTTTCCTTAGGGATTTCAAGTGTGCCCTGTGACAAACTGGTCATAAACAGAGCAAGGATAAGAAGGTTTCACCAACCATTTTGTTGGAGGACAATTGTTGGTTCTTTCTTCAAGGGGCTCAAGGCTGTCAGGGAAGACAGGAGAAAGATGTGAAGCCCTTTGCTGCTTTCTTCTGCTGTCCATATCCTTTTGTTTCTTTAAAAATAAAACAAAACAAATTAAACAAATGAACAAAATGCTTGCCTTCTAATACTACATGCACACAAAAAGCTTCAGTCAGCAAGGTTAAAATAACTTTTCTTCAAACACTAATTACTTGTAGAAAGAGAAAAAAATAGTTTTAGTCATTTCTGGCAACCACAAATTTTGTATGATACTTCTAACAGATGCATATCTACTATCCTGATACACAATCCTCAATTTCCTGATTGTAGCCAAACTTAGTGGCTTAACAAAGTAAGATGAAGGTCATCTTGCTCCTAGTCATCCAGACATTTCCTCCTGTTTTCCAAATACAACTTTATCCACCAAGGTCCTAATTTAGAGGGGATTGTTTCATCTTGTCATCCAGAGAAAGCATTTCTTATCTGCCACATTCAAATGATAAGGGAAAAGTTTTAATATTATATTACTGAATATTACACAAAGCAGAAGTGCATTTTACCTTTTTTAATCTTGGAATGTTCTTTCAAATAATTGTGTTTTTAAAATGTGGGGAATATACTGAATTTTAAAAGAACAAATACTTAGTAAAAGATTGCCATAGCAAAGTACACATGATAGGTTATAGCTTATATATAGTCAGGACTAGTGAAATCCACTAGCATTTTCCCACTGTAACATTATGTTGGAGTCAAAGTCAAAATTTAGTCTATTTTTTATAATCACTTTTATAAACATATAGATTATAAACATATAGAGAAAGAACTTTCTAGTTACTTGAAATTTACTACTTATGTTTTATCTGTCTATTATTTGTATTAATAATTCTTCAGGTTCCAAAATTTGGAGAGCTGAGAAAAATAATTTTAGAAAAAAAGTCTAAGAATTTAGGAGAATATGTTTCTGTCTTATCCAATTAGTCCTTTCAACCAGTGCTTTCTCGTCATTCTTGGGAGTACCAATTCTAAGAGCAGTCTTGGGTTGATAAGTACACTAATACTGGTAGAAATGGAAAGCACTATGTTTTTACCTTTTTCATAAGCTTTTATGTTCAGATTTTTGTTTACATATAATTTCAAGAATAGAAACAAAATTTTCATTCACAACTACCTGTAAATAAAAAACATTATTTTATTAATTCAGTCACCAATATTTTTGAATATTGTTACTATATAGTATTACTCCCTTTCAGGTAAAATCTAATTAACAAAATATTTTTGAACACTTGACTATAGTAAAGCAACATATGTCTTTATTTCAATACTATGAAGCTTTTAATTAACAGAAAATGACCATTGTTGCTTCTTTAGAATACCACTGAATGTCAGAGACATCGTCTATTGTACAGGAGTTTCACTGTTAGATGAAGATGTCTGGGAATTCATATGGATGAAATTCCACTCCACCACAGCAGTTTCTGAGAAGAAGATATTGTTGGAAGCCTTAACTTGCAGTGATGACAGGAATTTGTTAAATAGGTGGGTCAGTTAACTTTCTACATTTATTAGTAATGAGTTTCTCTGTGTGCCTCAAAGTGTGCGGAAGTTGTTTTATTTCCTGAATGTATGCTAATTACTCTAGAATATATCTTCTTACTGCTAAGGAAAACTGCCATGTTAACATGACTAAAGCTAGTTGACTTGAAAGATATACCTTTGTTTTGAACTAATTATTTTATATATTGTGTATATATATATTATATATATATATAAATAAATAAATAAAAGACAATATTTCCTTCTAAAAAGAATTTACTCTGAAGAATTAGAATTTTACTCTAAAGAATTTTAAAAGTGAATTTGCATCCTCAAACCAGAATTGTGATTTCTCCACCCACAAGTTTTTCAGAATTTAATTAACATATTAATTAAAATGCTATGAGTTTGGCCTTCCCCCTTTTATACACAGAAAATTGTTCTCTTTGTAGTCTTCATTGAGCTATTCTTTTGAAAAATATGATAAATCATGTACTTTTTGTACTTTTACAGAAATGTTTAAGTTATTGGACTAAACATTTCCCCTCCATTCTCTCCTTACAGGCTTCTGAATCTGTCGCTGAATTCTGAGGTGGTGCTGGATCAAGATGCAATTGATGTGATAATCCATGTAGCTCGAAATCCACATGGCCGAGACCTTGCCTGGAAGTTTTTCAGAGATAAATGGAAGATATTAAATACCAGGTAGAAATTAGAAATAAGAGTTTCAATCATTTATACCTGACTGAGTAAAGTTGGGCCTTTATATGTTAGAACCAAGGTCCAGGTAATAGATTTAAGAATAGTCAAGATGGGTGTTGCCACTCCTGTGAATCTCAGAATTATTTTAGCAATTCTTTATCATTATTTGTGTATTAATGATTGATAACCATAATTATATGTGGAAATGTGGTAGTGAAAAAGCTTAGAAGTGCTACTTTTGTGGAAAATCTATCAAACTGCCCAAGGTTGAAGAACTTGTATCATAAAACTCCTGTTATCATGAATGTGTTATAGAAAAAATATGATTAAGAATCAGATATAGGGTTTTATGATAAGAAAACTTTGATTACTTCTGTGGAATTGTTTTAAATTTCCTTTAAATATAAATAACATTAAACCATGATATAGAGAAAGAACATTTGAATCATTGTATAATTCTTTTTGCTATAGAATCATTCCTGAGACATCTTGTTTCATGGTGAGAATCCTTCAGCCTCAGTTTTAGAAAATATCTCATTATGTATTTAAATACATTATAATAAGTGCTAATTTATTGCTCTGATAATCTCTATAGTATTTTAAAATTAAATTTATTATAGATCATGTAGATGCTGCATGTTCTCAAACTTCAGTGTCCCCAGTGAGCAGTTCTACTGTTCCAGCTCTTAAAAACTTACAAACTTTTTTTTTTAAAGCACACCTTTATTGGTTGCCCTCATACAAAGGAGTTCAATTTGAATGGATGCAGCATATTAAAACACATTTTCATCTACAGATATTTCATTGTCAAAGAGCACTGATGTTCTTAGAAAGCATATTGGGTTCTTTGTATTTTCAGCTCAGAAACTGGAATGATTGGAAGTTTATAATTTGCTTTGCTGTCATTCACATTATATAGTGAATAGTCAGATACATAGTGAAATTAATTTATCTAAGCATTTCACTTCAAAGAGTATCACATATCTATCAATACACAGAGTTTCTTTAGGGAGTGATTTTGTAGATTGGCGTTTAGTGGAATGCACATATAATTTTAGCCCCTACAAAAAAATGTTTGACTCCTGATACATCTTTTTTTTTTCTCACTGAGTGTCCATGATCTTTAATCAAAAGGTAGAAAGGTTAAGGTTTCAGCCTATCTACAGATATGGCAGTGTTTATCTTGACCAATAGGATTGTTGTCTTCAGCTGTTCCTACTCCTTTGTCAGTCCTTGGACATTGGAGTTCATGGGGATGCTGTCCTAGGTTCTCCTTCTTGCTCTGAAGATTCTATTTTTAGTTGCCATCTACTCCTGTGATTTCAATCATTCCAAAATCTATATCCCTGAGTTGAACATTTCACCTAAGCTTTAACTGTGATAGGTGCCTGTGGAGATCCTCTATTGCGGGGTGTAGTTACAAAGCTAAGCTCATCATTTTCCTTTTGTCTTCCTTTTCTCAGTAAGTAACAAAGCCATTCCCCAAGTGCTCAAGCCAGACACTGGAAATCTACATATGGCTTCCCTTTCCTTTGCCAAATGTAACAATTAGGCTTAGGTAGTGTCATTTCAAGAATTCCTTAATGTTTCTTGAATTCTTCTTTTCTTACCTGTGGCCGTTGCCCTAGTCTCATCTCTTGCCAATATGGCCTTCTGTCTCCCTGCCTTTATAATCACACACACACACACACACACACACACACACACACACACACACACACACACACACACACACACACCTCCTCCCTTTGCCCAAGAATCTCTCTGAAAAGCAAATGTAACATGTCTCTGCTGTAAAACCTTCACTCTACTGTGCCACAGTGAAAATATAAGCCCCTAATAAGTTCTCTGACTAACCCATTGCCTCTTATTCTGCTCTCTCCCACCTCACAATTTATATACTCTTAACATTAGCTCGTAGTGGTCTGCACACACCACGTTGTTCCCTGCCTTTGTTTATGTTGGTTCTCTGCCTAAAATAACTTTCTTCCTTGATGTTCCGAATTACTCTCTAATCTATAATGCCATCAGTTCCAGAAGCCTTTCCCAAGTCCCCACAGCTTAAGAGGCACTATTTGAACACTGTATAATGTTATTATTACCACATTTAACCACAACAAATGGAAATGATCTGTTTACAGTACTAGATTGTATGATGCCTTCAAGGAAAGAAGTGTGTCTTATTCATCTTTTCACAACTGTAAGCCAAGTATATAAGCAAAATGCTCTTAGAAAAATAATTATTTTCACTCCTGGACAGTAGGCAATTTCTGTAACCACATCCTCAGTACTGATGATTACTTATCTCTTTATTGAATGCCTATTCATTTTATTTTATTTACTTAATTTTTTCCATGAAGTAGTTTAATGTTATAATTCATGATGGTCATCATTTTAGCTGCCTCATTTTACAGATGAAGAAACTGAGGCTCCAAAAGCTAAATTACTTGAGGTCCCTCAAGGTAGGGCAGCATAAGAAAACCTCTTGTAACAGTTGTTGGACCTTTGCTTCTAAAAACTCAATCTTATTTTGAGTGTACTTTTCATCGTTCTGAGAATAGGATAACCCATGGTAGGTATGCTTAGCACAGTAGAGACAAATCAACAAAATGAGAAAGCTTTCCAACTCACAGACCCAAATTGTTCCTTGTCTTGGGTCATGAGTCAAGTAATTCATGCTTGTGGTACAAGGTTTATGCAATCCAAATGAACTTGATGTTTTAAATGCCCACATGAAAAAGAATGCTCACACTTTGGGGAGCCTTTTGAGAAACTTGGCTCAGTTTCTAAGCATGAAAAAGAGAAATGCCACTATCAGTTATGGCTGATCAGACCAAAGGATCCCATCTGGGTAACATGATGGCAATGCCCAAGTGTGTCTTCCTTTTCTGTTTCCTTTGTTGGGATCCTTTTCCCTTAGTGTGAACTAGGTTGCTTTTAAGTTAAAAGATATAAAAGATTTCCTTCTCAAGCCTTTGAAATGTAATAGTAGTTCCTAAAATCTAACTGTAGAATGCTCCTTTTTTGTTTGTTTTTAATTTGTTACAACTTAGACCTCTTTGAAACACTGTGAACCAGTCAGGTGGCATCTGACAGTGTCCTGCGGGCACTGCTATTTGCCCCTCTCCGACTCCCTGGAGAAATGACCTTGAATGCTCAGAGATCGTAATGGCAACAAGACACAGTGGTCAAATGGAACCCTTGAGAAGCATTCTAAAACCTGTGTAGAGCAGTATTTTTTAAATTACTGCCTATATTAACATTAAGACCTTTTTTTTTATCTTTTGAGGTATGGAGAGGCATTATTTATGAATTCCAAACTTATCAGTGGAGTTACAGAATTTCTTAATACTGAAGGTGAACTCAAAGAGGTAAATATTCTGAGTTGTAATGCTTTTCTTTTATAAGTATATGAAATTGCAATTTATTTCAACCATTTTTTTCCTAACAGGTTCGTACCCCTCTTTCAAAATATACACATGCACATACCCATGCTAAGGACTTTACTCCATTATTTGGAAAGACATTTCTAACATATTAAATATTAAATGCCCATGAGAAGTTTGAATACAATGTTTCTCAAACTAGGGGCTTCCAAATCCACTCTGGAAATCTTTGATCCCATCAGCTGCTCCTCAGCTAGCTCTGTGAGCCTAGTTTAAGGTCCCCCAAATACAAAACTTTCCTGTCATAATGACTCAGTATTTGAACACACAGGGCCAAGNTGACTAATGACGGTGCATTCCCCATGGTGCCTCCTTATTTACAGAGAACCATCAACCATCATCCTAAAAAGCAGGGGCCTCTCGGAACTTACCCCTCCGGGCTTTCTTCTGACCTGCAGTTCTGAATCCTCTCCAGATGTCTGAAGGGTCCTCCCTGTGCCGGTGATGTTCTGGTTCCCGGGATTCGGCACCACTTGTCGCGTGCCCTGTCCTCGCCGGCAAGAACAGCATGCAACAACAGCAGTTTTCTTCTGCAGAAAGCTTTATTCTTCAGCTCTTTGTGAAACAAATGAGTTGGGCAGGACAGGTAGTTTTTTGACCATTAACTCGTGACTCTAATAGAGAAGGATGGGGGATGGGAAGGGGTAAGTAGGTAGGAGGAAGGAGCAAAATACAGACACTTTTCATTGATTAAAATGAGTTGGGCTTCAAGCATCTGGACCTTTGCTCTGGGCTCCTTGCCTCCACTGTGAAACAGAGCTGAGACCTGGTGTTGAGAATCCTGGTTTCCTCTCTTTTCACTGGCAGAATCTAATCATAGGGAGCAGCAATCCCCCAGAAACATTAGCCCGGCACCACCCTGAATATCGTTTAACACGGCCCAGTTTTGTAGGATCATCCCCCACACACTACCTTGGATACTTTCACTCCATGAGCTAAGCTGTGCTAAGCTAAGTTTCTGATTGTCATGATTTGAAATTCAATTTTTATCCCTGCTATGTGCTCCTATCCCTGAAGGATTCGGTTTTGAAAGCCCCAGCGCATGTTTTACTATGTTTTTTAATAAAGGCAGCTAAATGAGAAGGACTTCCTTCATATCCATATGAGGCAGAAAGAAAAAACAATGATTGCCTCCAATTTTCTCTGTCTTTAAATGAAGTATTTTTAATTCCTTGATTTTACATTCAATACTTCGGGAATGAAAGATGCATTTAGTCACAATCTGGGCAGCCACTGAAGTGAACACAGAAGTGAAAGGACTCTGCCCTCCTTTTCCTTCCCCCACTCCTCCCCCACCTTCGCGCCCCTCCTTTTTGCTCCCTTCCTTCTCCTGCCTCTCTCCTGTTCCCTCTCTTTCTCATCTTCTACCCTCTCTGTATTTCATATTTTCCTTGCTTCGTTTAATACTGAGGCCATGCAAAAACATCTTTTAAAAGAACATTTTATTGACTTAATCATATGCTGACCATTTTGTTCTACATACTTCATGTACATATTTAATTTTTTACACTTGGTTTAACTGCCATTTGAAATATTCCAAGAGACCCCTATAAGTAGAGGTGCAATTTCAAAACTGAAACTACACTAGGGCTTTTATTCCATTATCCACAAAGTAGCTAACTTCCCATACAGGCTCTCCATGGTGTGAGTGATGAATCCCTTCACTGCACAGCTGCTTGCTCTGATTTTCTAGTTTGCCAACTGCTGCCTGAGGCTTTTCCATACTTTCATTATCTAGTCATCATCTGTAGGATTGGAAGCTCGTATTATTGGGCAGAATGGGGATTTAATTTGTATTGCTGATAACCCCCTTCTATAAATACAAAGAGGCTGAGGAGATTCCAGTCTTGTTCTCCAGTAACCAATGAGCAATGGAAGCAGAAAGCCCAATGTGCTCCCTTTGGGTAGGGCATATTCTTATGTTTAGGAGTTTATAGATCAAAAGGAAATCAGCATTTTTATGAATTCTGAAAACTTATTTGAGATTTTAACAATGCTCATCAGCTTTAGGGGCATTCAATAGAGAAACTTATTTTGGTCCATGGTCCCTTCCCCAAAACTGTAGCCTAGTACCTGAAAATGGAAATTTTCTTCTAATTACCTTGGTCTAGCAATTTGGACAGTATTTCTGCATGACACAGTGCACCATTTCCTTAATTTTAAACTAATGGAAGTACAGTCCTACGGAACCTCAGAGGCCCTTGCCATTACTTCATACGAATGTCTATTAAGCACTCATCTCCAGTACTCGTTTTTCTGTCTCTTGAATCTAATATACAGCACTGTTACAGGACATAGATCCTGTGTACCACAAACATCCCATTTACAGTTTTAATGCTGAAAATATAAACCTCATAATAGGGTAATAGCTAATTCAATTCATTTATATAGCTACTAAGAGTATATTATTTTTTTGTAATTTACCAATAATTTATTATGTGGTGGTTGGGGTCTGGGGTATCCTAAAATAAGAGATTTTTTAATGTTCAAATGTTTTTTTAATAGAGAAATTAACATGTCTAGAAATTTTATGCTAAGAAGAACAGGGAGCACAAACAACTCTGACATATTACTAAATGTTATTTATAAAAATGTCTAAACTTGCAACATTTTCAAATAAAAGCATAAGATGGCATAAATATTTAGAAAATACAATAATAAAAACAAGCAGCAGCAGAAAATCTACCAAAGGGCTGCAGAAATAAGAAAACTGGAATGCCAAATGCTTTCCATCTAGCCATGTCTTCTGAAGTCAGGCAGGGGTATGTGATCATATCTGAGGACCAGTTTGATGGCTGCTCTGACCCCATGTTTGCCAGAAAAGCTGCATCAGAGCACAGGCGTAAGATCCATTGATGCCAGCTATGGAAAGTGGGCCAGGTGTGTTCTGATGAATAAGCTGCTCCTAAGATTCATGAGTCACCTCAGGCTCTTTGAGCTCACAAGGGAAGTATTTAGTGCACTTAAATACTGATTTAAGAAATGAATCCTTAGAGACCCACCACTTACATTTTCTCATGAGAGTTTTCTTACAGGATAATGTGACCTACTATCTTTGTGTCAATACAACATTCATATTCAAGCCCATAGTTTGCCTTTGAGGAGGATGTAAGAGCTTTGCTTCATGTATTCAGGCTGGCTTGCTGTCTCAAGAGGCTAAGAGTATGCTCCACAGAGTCAAAATTGCCAAAGGGTCATTTTTCCTATCTGGCATATTCAGTGACTGCCCAGGAAAATATAGAATAATGAGGAACCTATTTTGGGAGTAGATGTAATTTTTTTCCTGGTTGACATATGTTATGTAAATAATGCCACAATAGCATACATGTACAAATGTACACATTTTTGTAATGAACTGAAACACAAAATTCAAAACATATCAAAATGCATTATTTGTTGCTTTAGGAATACAGATGAATGAGTCTGAGCATAAACATATAAATGCAAATGAATTATTGGATTGATCAGCTAAGGTTTAAACATATGATTCATATGCTACCATTAGACTGCCTTTTTATATGTGTGTACATATTCCAGGTATATGTGTGTGACCCAGTGCCTGGGATTTTAAAGATATTCAGTAAATTTCAATCCTTTCTCTTCTTCCTCTTAGTGTATACAAATTTGTTCCAATGTCAGATCAGTTTAAAAGGTAGTACTGATAAATCTTTGTTATGCCCTGGGATTTTACATGTTTGTTAGAAAGCATAGTGATTTTCAAGTCTTGTAAAGGACATAGCTCTGAGATGCAGTTATCCATCCCTAATGCTGTGAGGCACAAGGCTTTACAGGCTAGTAGAGGATATGTTTTGGAAAACATATCAGCGTAATGTACTCTGTCCTAAGTAGCATCATATCAAGTAGCACTGTCATAAACCAGCCAAGCTACCAATGAACCAGTTTCTCGATTAATTCAGAAAGGTACAATTAATTCCATGTTAAATGCCCCTCCCCTCCCATCTTCCTGTCCCTGAGCCAATCTGGTTGCACTGCATTTCTGGGCTGGCAAGTTCTCCATGTGGTGCCCACCAAGTGATGAATCACACCCCACACTAATTACACCACATAATGTTTCTATGTTGCAAGTTGATTTTTCACATTTATCTATTAGCTTTGCAACTGGCTGATTGCCAGTTCCTTAAGACATATCACGCAGAAAGAAAACCACGAGTAGTTAATCTTGTAATAAAATCCCTGAGCATTTCCAGAGTATGTAAACTCTCTAGAGAAAATATCCTTAAAATTATGATAAAACATTTAACAATTATAAATTATGTTAATTTTCTGGCCAAATGAGTCCACGGTCCTCCCTCATTCTTTCTGCATCTAGTTACTCAGATTGTAATGTCACTAATCATCTAGTTTTCATGGCATCATTACTTTTTTCGCACCACCCAATGACTTCAGTAATTCCTTGCCAGCAAAGGTAAGGGTCAAGCTCTCATACTGCTTATTTTGGAGATGGTGAAGAATAACTCTTTCTCATCAAACAAAAAGGGAATTTTAATCCTTATATGTGGTTTGTAAGGCTATTTCATACATTGGATAATGCTTCATAATTAGAACTAATCTTTTATTAATTACTATGAAATTAACTATTATGAAAAGATAAATGTCTGCTTTACTATTTATTTATGAAACCAGAAGCTGAGTTTGGAGTTACGCAAACTGTAATGTCCATTTTATTTTGCTTTCAGTTCCAAAAGAAATTACATCACACCTAATGGACTTGACCTGTCATACTGCATTTCATTACAAAGCTTGATCCACATATTAAATATACTTTCTCTGGGGACAGGGGCACTTCATTTCAAGTAGATTTTTGCTTATATATGTTGGATGTGCGTTCATTTTCAGACATGCATATTTACCACTTAAAAATTTCTTATTTCCAGCTAAAGAACTTCATGAAGAGCTATGATGGAGTAGCTGCTGCCTCTTTCTCAAGAGCCATGGAAACTGTTGAAGCCAATGTGCGTTGGAAAATGCTTTACCAGGAGGAGCTTTTCCAATGGTTAGGAAAAGCTCTGAGACATTGATACGTGTCTCATAAACAATTTAGCTCAGAATTTTGTGAGACCTGCTTTATGTGGAATGAGGAAACTGTGCTATGTGCAAAATGGCCAGATTTTCAGTGTTAACGTGTGGGAGGAAATTTTTTTTTTAAATTTTTGGTTTGGGGAGAATTATTTATTTGTTTCATTCATTCTGTTTTGTTTCTCTGCTGAGTGTTCTCTAAAGAAACTCTTGCAAGTGAAACTAGCCATGATTGCTGCAGCTGTACATTCCTTGCTGTACAGGACCAAATATGATAGTGGTGCATGCTGTTGCAGTCAGTTTGGAAAAACATACCCAGAATATTTTGTGCATGGTTGTGTGGTCATGCCTGTGTTCCAGCATGCTTATTTAAAGTGTCCAGTGTTGTATGTGAATATATGTTACCTCTAGGATGGGCATTATGCAAAAGCACAAAGATTATCTATGACAATCAGTGTTGCAGTGAAAGAAAAACTTAAAAGGGGAAGCATATTCTTAGTCTTGGGCAATGTGAGAGGTAAAATAGACCTTCAAGTGATCACTGTCACTTATTTCAGCACTTGGATTATCTTGTGATGATAACTGTGTTGCTAACTCATTTTCTTTGAGTTAAAGCTGTGTATACGTTTAAAAAGGCATATAGAGAGTGTATTCATATGTTTATGTACATAGGGAAGCCCTATATGTATATAGTATGTTGTACACTGTACTTGCGCAAAGAATCTCTTCAGATCAAGAAAAACTTATCTCTTTCTATAAATTTCTGCAGATTTTGAAAAGGCTTAAGATAATTTATCTCAATATTATTCTTCCTGACAATTTCCTAAGTTTCTCAACTGTTACGGATTTTTTTTTCATCTACTTCCTGAACAATGGTCTATTCTACTACATAAAAATGATTTCAAACAAAATTTATGTATAAAAACTCTTCTAATTTTCCTAAGTTGTAGCCTAGCATCCTCAATATAGATTCTGTCATCATTTTGACCAAACTTCCTATTGCAGGAAACAGTTGTGTGCACTTAATAATTATCAATGCTGAGAAAGCATTTATTTTCCATCTTGTTCATTTTTTCCATCTCATGATAGGTATCAAGAGAGTTAAAAACTGTGTGTTCGTCTTTGTGTCTGTGTGAGTCTAATCCCTCATTCAGCATCCACACCTCATGTGGGTCTAGTAACATTTAATGACCTTTGATGTCGACTGTACCATCCATTGAAATGAAAAGTTACTTTTCTAGAGCAAAGCTCTTCCTTTGGCTTTGACTTCTCTGTTTTACCTGGGCATTTTGTATAGCCCTTTTCATGGCAGTACGTTATGTAACGTAAGTGCTTCTAAATGGTATTCTCACCCAGTTGGCTGGCTCTCCAACCATTGCTTAGATGCTCCAAAATGAACATATTTTATGTTTACCAGTATAAAATACCAATACAATGACTACATAAGCCAAATGTTTGTGGACCACTTACTGTTTTCTTGAGGTTTTCCACTCCACCAACTCTTCTTGCAAATCATTGAAAGAAATACATTCTAGTAGTCATTGAGAACCAGGAAAACAACCAGGTATTTTAGAAACCAGTACTATAGATTTTTTATAAGTTTGTAGTAAAGAGCAATTTCCTAATCCACAGAACAAATATCACCTAAAATTGAATTTTATCTTTTTAGAAACTAATATCTATATTCATACATAAATTTTCCATCATTTGATTAAATCAAATGAAATTTGAATAAACTATGTGGCTCTAGTAAGACGTAGTAAAACTTAGTAGAAAACCTGAAAATCATTGTACCTTTCAGAAGTGATGAAATTCAGTTAGTACACATCACATATATGAAATCCTTAAGGGATAAATTCTGAAACATAACAATAATAAATATCACACTTCTGTGCAGGTCCAAAACATGTACTATGTCACCACTGGATTCATGTGACAGAGAAGATAAAAAATTAGAGGTAGATGTCTTGCTTTGTGTCGTGAATTACTGAAAATTCTTAGTAGTTATGACATTCTTTTGAGTGAAATCATTACTTCCAGATTTGAGTTAGAAGGGCTTTTACAGTTTTTTTCCTCCCCACTGTTAATAACCTTAATCCTCTTCCAGTATTTTAGTGGCCTTGAACAACTGGTGTAGCTACAGTGTCAAATCCTAAGTGTATATTATGTGCAATGTTCAATACCTCATATAATACTCGTTCAACAGTATGGTGGATCAGTGACGTTGAGGTGGAATTTTTGTTTTACGTATTTTTCAATAATTTATCCTTTCCAATGTTCAAGATTATATCAGGATTTAATGTTTTTTAGTTGTTTTAATAGTAATATTTTCAAAATAATAAAATGATCAATGATATCTCTTGGAATATTCTGTAAATGTAGTTATAAAGTTCTATTTTCTACATAGATTTTTTATCTTTTTTCCCTTGGTCTGTTTTAGAAATCATATATATGCATGAAATAGCAAATTGTTCAAAGTGTCCAACATCTAGGCTAAAAACTTCACTGTGCCAATAAATGTAAACAGCAAAACTTGGTTTCAATTAGGAAGAACTAATTTATTTACCATACTGACTATTAAGTATCTGTAGGTAACTTATAAATAAAAACTTTTTGCCATTTTTACATTTTCCCTTAAACTTTTCTTGTAATCTTTGAGAATTTTTTTAAATACACAAGTGCCACCTCTAAGGCTATTATTTGCAATACTAGATTTATTCTTGTTTCAATAACATGGATTTGGGCTGGAAACTATAATCAGTTTGGTTTATATTATTTTTCCAGAATAATTATATCTTAGGACTGCGATTTTTGTGGTAGTGCAAAATTCATAAATATTATAGCTACAATATCTTACAAAGTTAAGATTATACCAAATATTTATAATTACATTTCATTTTCTAATAAGTTTTACACGTTACTTCACGTGACTCCTTTCAAAAACTTAATAAATTATATTAGCCCTCATAGTCTGATAAGAAAACTGAGTAGAAACATGAGCTATTTAAAATTACATAGTTGTTTTTTTGGCAACAGATACAACTACAATAGGAAGACATATTTGAAATACCTCTCCTGCATTAGTTGGAGATTTTCCAAATACAAAAAAAACCCCAAAAAATCTGTGATTAAATATATCTATAATAATTATATTATTTTTTAAAGTCTGTACTTTTAGTTCACGCGATATCAGTCAACTGGATAAAATGTTAATCAGCATTCACTTTGGTCAGCATAAGTCGCCAAATATTGGGACAAAAATATAGCTCATTGATTATAGTTTTCTTTTTTTTATCTTTTGGTGAACGTTGTTTAAACATGACCTTAACATACTGATAATTTGCTTTATTTTCCACACAAATTTATCTGATACACTCTGTTGTAACAGGTGGTCGTGTTGCAGATAAAATGGTATCTATCGAAATCAATGGACATGATATTCAGTAAAATGTTTATAAATCTATGGGAACTAAGTTATGAAGGAACAGTTTCTGTGCAACTGTAGTACTGCATTAAATGCAGTAAAGGGATTTCTAAAGAATGTTTACAACAATATATTTAATTAAAACCTACAAGCTATTAAAATTTTTAAGGAATCTTTTTTTCCAAGAAGTCAGAAACATAAAATAGATTGTTATTTTCCTCAGTACACCCAAGAGGTAACCACATATGCCAATATTAAAGGAGTAGGGAAAGTTCATATAGTGAGACATGAAGATTTCCACCCCTGTTTTTTCCCCTTTATTAGAAATCACAGCTGAATTACTATTATTTGACACTAATTATATAGAACAGAATTCAATATAATTAAACAAATATTTATTGAGCACCTATTACCTCACAAAGCACTTGCTGAGAAGAAAGGGAGGAAGAGGAGAATAAGGCCTAGAGGAATTCACAGCACAATAAATATACTAACAGAGAGAAATATGAACCAATCAGCACGAGAGCAACATGAAAAATGATTACATGCTATAGAAGAGAAGCTAAATACTTCTTAGCTATAGACAGTATTTTGCATTATTTTTTATACTAGTTCTCAGAACTTTTACGGTACTTCAGGATAATTCTCATTGTGTTGTTTCACAGCTCTTAACTGTGTTTTGCAGAAATGTGTACCATTTAGGAAATGCAACATTTAGAAACCACGTAATTTAAACTTTATAATTGGAATATAAATTGGGATATAATTTATCTTTTAGAAAGTTGTTTGAGAGATTTAATCATATCATTAAGTTGCAGGAAGAATGTTTAATCTACTTATATAGAAGTATTAGAGAAAAGTAGTTTTCTAGAATGGTTTTAGCATACTATTTGTATATTCACAATGTGTTGATTTTAAACTGATCATATATTCTTTAAAGCAAGTTGAACAATTCTTATCCTAGGCAATAATATATTTTTTTCAAATTATGATGTATATGTGAACCTTTGAGTACAAAAATGTTCTTGTAAAATATTCTAAAATTCCAACTTTTAATTATGTAAGAGTAACCTTCAATTCAGTTGCTTTGAGTTGATAAGGAGGGATTTTTGTTAAATATTTTGTTTAATGTGGTTTATATGCAAGAGAAATCTAACGAGTATGTTCAAGTAGCTTTTAATTTTATGAAATTTTATTTCACTGCTTAGAAAAGGAAGTTTTAAAAGTGTCTTAAAATATTAAAAATAAGCAGTTGGTGAAAATATATGGTATAATTTTAAATGTACTGCCTATGTGTAATTGTATGCATTTTATTTTTGAAGTTAGTTTTTAACAAATGGCCTTACTAGTAGGCACTCTGATCTTATCAAGATTTTCAATACGTAGCACCCTAAGAGATTTTATTTTGAATATTTAGTGCTTTTAGGTTAGTGCATTGAAGATGTTTCTCTTTGGTATATTCCCAGTTCATGTACCAGGGCACTATGGGGGAAAAAAAAGACCAATCCTTCATTTTGATCTGAATAAATTTTTTGTTTTGTATTAGTGTTAAATTAGTTAGAATATAGGGAAAGAACAAAAATTTGAGTCTCTACAAATGCTGGGCATTTTACTGATGTCATCTATAACTCTGTGAAGTGCTTTCAGTTCCAATTTAGCAATGAAGAGACTGAGGCTGAGTTGGGATGAGTTTATATACCTGGTGGTAGCTATTAGCTGGAATTCAAAGCCCTGCCAACCCATGCCTCATGGCTCAAATTAGTCATTATCCTTCCTACATGCTTGAAAACATAATGATTATCCATATGGACCAGTGTCTATACATCTGAATAGACGCTTAGCTCCTGCCTCATTGCCACTGGGTCAGGTGACAAAAGTGTTGGTTAGTGCATTCTGGCTTACCACATATTCCTTAGCAAGCTTACATAACATGGCCTGTAAGATTCTGAATACACACACTGTAGAGGTCCATGAAAAGAAAAAAAACTTTTACATTAGTGTGCTGTATAGTGGGTTTTAAGCTATAACAGGTAATTGACAGCTTGTCCAGCCAACAAGCCATGAAAAATAAGTAAAAGAGAGGATCACAAAGCTCTTCACCAGTGGACCAAAGATAAGGTTACATCTTTGTCCTGCGTGTGGAGGAGACCTATCAGTCTAGCTGAAATTTTCCTTTTTCTTAGCGATGAGGTCAGAGAAATATTTCTCTCTTTCTACTTAAAACTATATAGACGGACTGCAAATGCTTAATTTATTTGAAGTTACATTTTCCACTGGCCTGTTGCATGTAGATGCTGTTTAAGATAACTACTCTGACCCAGCCCTGCACAGGTCAGCTTGCTTCTTATCACACACATTTTTATTATGTCATGTAAGTAAATGAGTGAAATGTTTTATAGGAAGTATTACAGTGGAGTTCAGAACATCTGCCTTGAATGTACAGTGCGTTTATTTTCTAAGGTGGTCACTCAGCTACTATCCTTTTAAACCCTACTAGGTTAACCATATTACACTTGCTCTTGCACACTAGTCTGTTCCCACCTTCACATAACTTATGACCTACTGGGTAAGAACACTTATTATTAGTTTTTTGTTATTCAGTTTCATTTAAAAAAGGTTTATTATCTGCCAATTTTCAAGTGCAAAAACATTTTTCAAATGGATTTCTCTTCAAATGTAGTTTACCTTTTAAAATATTGTATAATAGCTGTATAACGTTATCTTTTAAAATGCTACCCATACATTGCCACATAGGAACACATTAGCTATTTTTCTCTGCTGTATTTTAGTCCCTTTATGTTTTGATAGTCATTGAAAACAAAGTAGGAGTATAAAACTAGAATACATTAGGACTGAAGCTTATGACTGTCCGGTTACTTGAAGCAAGAGGAGAAATTCTGCCTTTGAGTTTCGTAATTGGCTTTCTGGCCACTATGGAATTCATCAGATAATCTTTTAAAAATACTACGTAAATTGTTTTTAATGACCTTGAATTCATTCAGCAACAAAGTCTATTTTCCTAAAGCCATTCCTCAAGTGAAGATGTATTTAAAATATGCCAAATGGAAGCACTTTTTTTCCTTTCTAATATTTTACAGTTTAGGAATAAAAAAGTAATTGTTTTTTCAGTAAATACAAGTTAGTAAAGCATTTACTAAAAAAAGTAACTTTGTGTTAATTTAGCAGATAAATGTTTTCTATGGTATGCCTTTAAAATTATTCAGTAAAAATGGAACCAGTATGTATTTGACATGAAATTTTTATTCCATTATAACAAACACTAACAAAATGGATTTTTCTAAATGAGAAAATTTATCTTCTGTGTTTTAAGCAGAACAAATTTGAATTTTGCCTCTGATAATAAAATTTTGTTCAGTAATGTGTAATTCATCACTGTCTTAATTTTCTGACATGTGCACATAAGGACAAGGTAAATAATACCTTTTGCTTTTTTATTCTTCTGTTATCACTGAGAACCCATTTTTGAAATTATAAGTATACACACTGTAGAGGTCCATGAAAAGAAATAAAAAATTACTTTTGACATGGACTTCCTCAGAACTATACAGTGCTGAAGCCAGAATAAAGAAGCATGTATTTATGCTATATTGTAAAAAAGAAAAAATATCAATCTGTCTCCTTTCTAATTATATGCTTTTGGAATAAATTAAAGGATCTGCATTTTGGTAAAAATGATTTCACCTGAAATGCATTTCAGATCACTCATTAGTAGGTTTTCTGCATTTCACAGACTGTCAGGATCCTTGAATTTCAAGAACAGTTTTCAATAAGAACAGGACTATAAAATATATATAATCAGGGCACATAAGTAGTACTCAAAATCTATTTTTCAATGTCTCTGGGTTTTTTCTTTTCTAACAATTGTTCACAGAATGTTAGAATTTTACTCTGCATAGTTACCCAGTTGAACCTTACTCATATTACTTTATAGAGCCATAGGAAATTCACCTTTCCATAAGCATGAAAATAAGAAATGGGAGACCCTCAAAGCCAGAATAAAAAAATATTCCTTTTATTATTGCCAGTGTAGACATGTATATGTATATGTATGTGTATATATATATGCACTGGAGATATATAGATGTATATCTCATATATATCTCATATGTATATACATACAGTCTGTTCATTTCTCTGTCTAATGATAATTGTGTTGAATAATCATGTATTATTCTGGCTATGGCAAAATATGAATTGGGGGAGTAGAGCATGGGTGCTGGCTTTACCTAAGGAACCTGTCAAAGGGATCATTAAGTTATATAGGCATGATAGCAGGAATTCTGTCTCAGAGTCATGAGGTAGCTTATTAAGAAACAATTCTGCCTGGCCCCCAACCCTAGTGATTCTGCTTAGTAGGTGTTGGGTGGGTAGCGGTCCTCTTCATTTTGAATAAGGATTGTAGGTGTTTCTGGTGGAGACAGTCCAGCTAGACCACATTGGCTAGGCCTAGTGGTTCTCTGCCCTGACTTTATATGAGATTCACTTGGATAGTTTTTAAAAATATACTTAGACCTGAGCCACACCTGAATCCAATTAAAGAAGAATCTCTGGCATGGCGCATCAGCAGTTTTTAAAGTGCCCAGATATTTCCAATACACAGTCATGGTTAAGAACAACCTCTGGGTGGCAGATACCAAATTGAGCATTAAACCAGGTTAAGTACAAGTTTCAGAATGTTACCAAAAGTATGTATTTTTTAAAGATCTAAGAATTTCTTACTACTGTTTGACATTCTTCACCAAATACAGAAATAAAAGAAAATATGTTCTCAATCAGCTTAATAGTGAAAAGCCGTCCACGTAGATACCCTGTATTCCATGTTGTGACACTGACATTCTCCCGTCACCCACTTTGTCTGACATCTTTTTCTCTGTAGTCTTAAGGAGCATAACTATATCTTTATCTCTATTATCAGCAATAACAATTTTTCAACTTTTATATTGCTTTGCAATAAAGAAGGGAGCTGTTGGCAGGCAGGATGTTCCAGCAAATGCCTGAACCTTTGCTGAATAGAACAATTCTTTTCTGCTGTTCATTCTACAAGTGCCTGAAATTGGAGCTCAGCTGACACATGGGTTCCAATTTTTACATCAGGGAGATAAACACACCATAAACTATTATTATCAACTGCTATCATCTGAAATATTCCTTTTTTCTAGTTTTTTTTGCCAGTTCCTTGTACCCTTTTCTCCCTTCCTTTTCTCTCTTGTGTGATCAGCCAGCAGAGCACCGAGTCTTATTGAGGGACACTGTATTTTCACTTGACATTGCAAAAAGAGTAAGTGAAAGTTTTGAGCTGTTTCTACATCACTGTGCATAACAGAAAGTGACACGAGTCCTTGGGATTGTTAAACAAGACCCACAGGGCCTCTGGCACAGTGAAACTGCTTGGTTGTGCTCTTCAGTGTTTGTGCTCATTGTCAATCCTTTAGTTCGTGGCCTCCCATGGGTTGTTAAAGTTTGCTTTCCTTTCCTAAAATCTCTGGCTAATTGGAGATTTCGGAATACAAATGAACTCATTTTTTCACTAAAAAGGGAACTAGAAACATTGTCACCTCTGAAACATCTTCGCAAGCTGGTAATGAGTGAATCATTTCACTGGAGAACTCTTGAGCCATATCTGACCAAAAAAAAAAAAAATACCACCCCACCCTAATCCCCTCTATTCCATTTTTGGTTTTTTTTCCCTATCTTTTGCCCTATATATATAATTGTCTTCATATGAGTTAATATTGGACCAATTGTCATGCAGAAAGGACATTTTGCTGTAGACTAAAATTTTCCAAATTAGTAGCTTCTTATTAAGTTATCAGAATTCCTGAAATGACTGACTTCACTGAGACATGTTTGACAAATTCAGGTCTGTGCAAGAGCTCCAGCTGCCTGCTGGATAAAGTAAAAGAGGGGACTGTTAAATGAGCAAAGATTTATGCAGAAGTCCTGAAGCTAAGTCTTGATAGGAATGGCTTCATTCCAACATTAGGAGGTAGGCACTAGCCAAAATTTGGCACAAAAAAGGCACTGGAAAGAAGGCTTGCCATATTTAAGAGGCGTGGACTTCAGCAGGTAGAAATACTGCCAAGATGCAAAAGATGGTAAGAGGAATACAAACAGTTTAGGACATCATGCATATATTACACAAACAACTAGCATTCTGGTTCTTGGATCATCTCAATGTTTTCCAGTGATATTTGAATAAAAATAATTGACTGAAATTAATGGAATGTTTTGTATAATAATTACAAGTTCAAATATTTTAACTGTGTGTGTGTATTGTGGATGGAGGAGGGGAGTGAGGAGAGTCGAGAGCAAATGAACAGACCTTTAACCAAGCATATTTCCATATGCAAAAAAATGGAATTATAGTCCCACATTAAACATGAAAATCATTTTCCAATCTTTAGACTTAATTTATTCAATTATGCTAGTTTGAAAATTCTCATCTTGTTGCATATGGAAAAATACCTGGTGATTTAGAGGAGAGATTCAGACTGAAGTGTGGTAGTATTACTTTTGATTCCATAGAAAGTGACATGAGTTTCTAGCACCATCTAATAGGATTCCATAGCTATCTGTGAACATAGAAACTGGGTGTTCTCTCTTGAGTGCAAAAGGAAATGCCAAAACCTAACTTTGGATAAATGAAACCAGAAAAAATCAAGTTGCCCTTTCTAGTAGCAAAACAGAGGAACACTAATGTTGGAGGTGAAATACGAGCATCTGCTGTTTTGACACAAATTTACTTTAAGGATCCCTGTGTGTTCAGTTTCTAGTCATTTAATTACTTGAACAACTTGAGGGATGGAAAATACTGTCTGAATTTTGTGTGCAACTATTTCATTTCCTTTGACCAAGGATGCTTTATCATCACTTGAGAGATCTGATTTTGCAATACAGACCTTGTACATATTGGGCAAATTGCAAAAATCAAAATATCACTTGCCATGCACTAGGTACTATGCTTACAGTAATACTTCAGTGTGCAGTTTCCTTATAAAGATCAGCTTGACTTCATGTAGCTCTTAATTAATCAAAGACCCAAAGTTTGAACTGCTAAGTTAACTCTCAGTTAAATGCTGGCATTTTATTGGAACCAAGCCAAGAAATTAATATTTTTGTTCTTGTTAAATTCTGTCATGTGAAAATTTTGGGATTCTGATTTTGTCATCCATTGTAACATCTTCTATCTATTTATAAGTATCAGGCCATCTTTATCCTTATTTAAACCAGGATATTAAATCCCAGATATTATTGTGCCAGCAGATCTGACAAACACCAGCAGTTTCTCACTTGGTTAGCTATGCAGATCCAGTGGTTAGTTTGTGTTTTTGTGGACTTGTCTGGGGAGAGCTTCTCTGTTTATAGACTATGCACTACCTCCTTCAGAGATTCATTAGAAAAGATAAAAAAATAATAACAGAACCTTACACTTTTATGTTACAGATAACTTCACTTTACCTACTTCAGAAACATTGAAATGGCAGCTATCAACATACTATATGGCCAAAAAATGCTTTTGCTCTAATATCTTGCTAAAGCTTTTCAAAGAGGAGTAGGGTGGATTGCTTCTCTCTCAGTGTTTTCAAACACACTGAAATAAAACCAATTGGAAATTTTATCTACATTGGACATTGATTTATTCGCAGGTACCTTTTTTCTTTGTTAGTTGGAAACCTCTCTCCTGAACAGATTCTCTTTTTAGTGTTGACTGTCCTTACTGACTAGACCGTCCATTTCATACTTCTTTGATGTTTTATATCAGTATGTTTTATCTTCCCACTAGATTATAAATTCTTCTAGGGTAGAGATGATACCTTTTTCCATTTCTTGACAGCAACTTCAAATATAATACATTCTCACTCCCATTTTCTTGATTGAGAATGACTTGAGTGCCAGTATGGAAACCAATGGTTTTACAGTATGAGCAACAACAGCACAGAACAAGAAGTGTTTGGGGATCTAGAAGCATCACTAGAATAAAAAGAGTTTATCATTTAAAAATATTGCAAAGCTAAAGCTTTAAAACTCACTCCATTCCTTTAATTTGTTCAAAAATATTGCTTTAGAGTGACACTTGTTATTGACTTTAACCTGTTTGGTGGAGAAAGTAAAAGAAGAGGAGGGTAATAAGATGCTATTTCATGACACATCTATTACAGAAATTCGTTTATAGTATGAAACTTTCCAAAGATAAATTCATGTTACTGTAGTGCAATTATGAATGTACCATGGCTTTTCAACAATAAAGCTGCCAAAAGGTTGCAAAATGAACAAGGGAGAAATAAATTTTAGTTAAAGAACTGAACTAACCAAGAAGTGTAATTTTTTAAAAAGGAAGAGTCTACATTGTTTCTTTAAAGAGATTTTTGTCTATTGTTAATGGATATTCTGAGATAACAAATGCATGTTCCACTTAATATTCAATGAACATACACTTTGCATGCATGCATACTAGCTTCTCAGATTATCTTGATACAGAGAACATTTGTAGTATTGTTTTTAATAAGTAATAATATCCTTATTACCAGAAAACATAAATCTATCCAAGAAAATGATGCCATTTATGG